GCTCAAGGCTTTGAAGGAGTCAGGCAGCAAGGCGTGAGGTGCATCCATACCCACAGCAGAGCCAGACCTTACAGCAGCTTAAAGGCTTCTGTGCGTCTGCAAGTCATAGCGCTTGCGCTGCTCATTGAGAGTGGCGAAATAAAAGTGGTTGGAGCTGAGCGAACGATTGTATGCGGTTCCGGACATCAACAGGCAGCTTGAGCATGATGTTCATCGCTGCTGTGCTCTGAAGATAACTTTCCAGGGTGACCAAATGCTTCAGGCGCATCAGCCAGAGGATCTCGGTTGTAGGCGTGAATGGCTCCGCCTGCTCGTAACGTACCAGGCGTTAGCTTCCATGTCGAAGAAACTCCCAGAGTGGAGAGCAGTCGATCCCAGCGCCGTCTGTAGGTGCTGGGGGTAGCCGGGTAGAGTCTTTCTTGCGGCTGCAGATGACCAAAAATTCTTTCAATGGCTAACAACGCAATTTCATCTGTGATCTTGGTGTGCTGAACAATGCCGCGGCCTCTGTGACTAGTTTTCGACTTAGTGATATTGATGAAAGCTGCGCGAATGTCGGCGCCTGTCTCTGCAGGAAGCAGGAGGTCTTGGCGACTGGCCCGAATTGGTTCGCTGATTCGCAACTTACCATGAAAAGCCAGCAGCGACACGGCACAAAATCTGTACCATCCCCACAACCAGCCCAAACAAATCATGGCATCAAATATCACTTTCGGCATTGGAGTTCTGTGTTCCACCGGTTGCACCCTTTCCCAACGAGACAGCAAATCCCAGGCATCTACCAAAGGAGCGGGAAAAGTCGGATAGGTGCGCTGATAGAAAACAACCAGATGCCGAAATAAATACATAGGCTGTGAACTCACAAAAAGATATCGCCCAAACGCGCGGAGAAAAACCACCCACAGCTCAGGTCTCTCAGCGATCTGTTCCCAGGCCGTCTCAGTCAGCTCAGTTTGCAACCAAGAGGCGAACAGCGAGCGAACTCTCTGTTGGATCAGAAGGGTCTGGGCACTGAGCAACTGAACCGTTTCCAAATCAACATCAGGTCGTTCCCGCCGAGGACGAGGTCCCGGCAAAGAAGCTTCACCGATGCGAGAATTGCACTTGGCACAGGCGGCTATGTCGAGCTGTCTTCGGCGTCCGATGGGCAACAAACTGTTATGCAAAAACAGGGCTAATGCATTACTTAGGCGGGCCGGATAGGATTCAGCAACTTTCGTCCAAGGCTTCCGGTGCTTTGACGAATAACCAACTAAGCGGAGGTGCTGTGCAGGAGGATCACAAGAACAAAGGAGCTTTACATGCTTCAGCTCTGTGTTGGTCAAAAACCGAGTACGTTTCCTCCACGGTGTGCCCCAAGTGCAGAAATCTGTCGTAAAAAACCCGCAGTCCTTTCGTGAACTGAGCCGCAACCACTCCGGTTGATCCCAAAGGGAAGAAAGCCAAGGGTTCTCGATGAAGATGAAGAGGGGGAAATCGAGTGCGGAAGTGACCAACCTAGCTAACCAAACAGAGAAAACATTGCCGTCCTCAACTTTGCGTTGCATATTCCGTGTCAGCTCAGGCAGCCCGCGAGGAGCGGCTCGCGACCGGACGGGTGGCCGAACTGCTCGAGAAAAACTAGCGCAAACTGGTCCTGCAGTTAGAGCTCGAAAACAATTGAGGAGCATCAAACTCTCAATGAACTGTTGTACATTTTCAGAAAGGAGATCTTGCTTTGGATCCAACACTATATCATACACCAGCACCCAACACTTGAGATGCCTGGCAATAGCTCTGGCCAAACCCAAGCTGCCCGAAAACAAATCGAGCACCCCTTGTCGCTTTAGGGACTGTCTGCGTTCGGTCAAGGACCACTCTCGGGGAAAACAGAAATGTTCCAGAGGCAATCCCGCGATCGCAGCACTGGCTCGTTGAGACAGTTCACCAAAAGAAGTCTCGCTCCATAACATAGAGCTTCCTGCTCCAGATGCTTCCCGATCAGGCGGAGGTGCAGTGTGGACTCCGCCGGATTCAGCTCTGTTTTCTCTTTTTGCTGAATGCATCTTTCTTCTGAGGGCCCGGCCAGATTCAAGCCCATCAGGTGGAATCTCAGCATCACAAAAACTAGGGAGTCTGGCCAAAACGCTCTCGTCAGCTCCATGCTGCGCGAGGAAGACATCCAGGGCAGTGAAGTCCCCAACAAATGCAGCTGTCAGCCAACTGGGGATGTCCTCTGAGGGGCCTCTAAGGTCTCTATCCCTTGTGGGGTCGTCAGAGGGGTTGTCTGCTGAAGGGATGTATTGGTGCCCAGGATACAGATTGTAACAAAGGACCGTAGGTAGATGCCTTTGCAACATATAGTTGAGGGACCTCGATGCTGACCTGCCTTTGACCACAGCGCCTAACACAACCTGAGAATCAGTGCCGATGCTGCAGCGTGATGAGGGGGACTGCCTAGCATGTTGTGCCTCAATATGCAACATGGCTTGCAATTCCTTCAAGTTGATATGTCTCGTCGGTTTGACACGAAAACAAAAACTGTGCTCGAAGATGCACGACCGGCAGAGCTGCCTCCACAAAGGATGAGCTTGCGCTGGCTCCTCGCCAGTTGGTACTTCGTCCTCGGGCAGCAAGAGATCGCGACTGCGCTGGTAACTCTTCCAAGGAGAGAGCAGCCGCGACCAGGCAGCTTTAGTCATGGAGTGCCGGTTCAACTCTGCAGCAAAAACGTCGGGGAGCACCGTGCGAGCCCCAGCTATCTTTTCATCAGAAGCGTCGACCACGTAAAATTCCGGCGACACTTGGGCTTGCAAATCCGAACAGAACAGTGGGGCTAAAACAGTCAAAGTCCACAGTTCTGCACAGAGTTGAGGAGAACATATGAAAACCTCGTGGTACTCATGTTCTTGAATCTCAGCGAAAATGGTCTCAAGCAAACACATGCCTCGCTTACGCGCTTGCAGTATTGCAGTCCAGGAGCCAGCGATGACCTCGAGCAGGTGTCGCGAAGCAGCCCCTGCCCGGGCTATGCGAGCTGAAAGGAAGCGCAACGGGATCACTCGGTCCAGCTGCGCCCTGATGAGACCAGTCGTCCCCTCAATACTGATCCCCCAGAACTGGGGGTTTTCCTCGGCGCGAAACCGCTTCTTGTCGTTGGCTTCTAATCCCACTCTAGCGTACAGCTGAGCCATCTCGTCAGCCACCTGAGTAGAAAAAGGTGTAGCACGAAGGGGACTTCGGGGGAGAGCTTCAACTACGACGAAATCATCGATGACATAGCCCGCGGCCCAATTCTGTCTAGGGAACCTCCCACGGATAGTGAGCAAATCGGTCATACGGATCAAACCATGCATAAGGCCTAAGCGTACATGAGACTGCTGACCAAACTCTACTGCGTTGAAGTCTCCCATAGCCATCGTCGCAAGAGCTGGCACATACACAGGCGATGAGCGCTCGGCGCGTCGGAAGGCGCCTGCAAACTTCTTGGCCTCCGCTCTGGACAATGTCATTGCGAGGGCATTTCGTCGAGATCGAGAGGGGGTTATCATATAGTAGTAGTAATAGTCCTTGAGGTCCTCGCCGGCAGCGACTACCTTGTGTCCGGGAGGGACCACCCAAGAAAGCAAAGGAACCAAAGATGCCATAGTCTGGGTCCAATCGTTCAACCCTGGTTCAAGAGCGTTGGCTGGCCGACAATCCAAAATGAGTCGGTCCGTACTCAAATTTTTCATCAGCGCAAACATCCCAGCTCGGTGGCTCATGCGAACCTCCTCAGGAGTGAACAGGGCAAGCCGCTGAGTTGCATCAAGGGCAGCTAGCAGATCCAAGATCTCTTTTCGATTTCCTCGGACCTTGACAGCAGGAACTTCCTCGAGCAGCTCAGTAGGATGCATTGCAAACTTCAAAGGGTCTGCATACAAAGATCGAGCAGGTTCTGACAGGTAGGGCGCCGGGTCAAATGAGGGGCGACCTTTGAAGGCCAGGCGGCTCGCTTCCACTGGTTTTGCAGCTTGAATCTCCTCGACGTGCAAAGGCTGAGAGCAGCCGTCCAAGCCAGAGCCCATGGGTCCCTTACCAGACCCGGTAGCAGGCACGAAAGCAACTGCAGAGCGCTCCAAGCTAGCAACCAATTTCTCTAAGCTCTCCACCTTGCCGGCAGTCCGGCCCATAGATTCAGCGGTAACATCCTCAAAGCGAAGCCATTCACCGGCCAGATGTTTCAACCTTGCCAAAACACTGCGTTGCTCCTCCGTCAGGGTTGCACGAGCATTGAAAGTCTTAGGCCACACTGGGGGTTTGCCAAGATGAAGCCAGTCCAACGTCAAAATCAAAATGTTTGAATATCGTTGCCATGGTGAGGAGGCTGGGTCAGCTTCCCCGGCGCCCTGAACCATCTCAGGGTGCGGCAGCGGAATCGGCCACAACGACCGAGGGGTATGAAATTGTCGATCATGAACTGGAGGTCTGAGAGAAGACTGCAAAAAACTCTTGAAGGCCCCGCAAGGTGATCGCAAGGCCCATCGAATCAATGAATTCCAAAGATGACGAGCATTCACTGTAGAGGCTGAGGCTCCGGGCGCTTGTCGATGTTCAGACGCCTCCGGCCTTTGTCTTCCATTTTCAGGGGCAGCAGCCGCTGCACCGGCCAGCCCCTCACCTCGCGGAGGGCCAGACGACTGAGGAGCTTGCATAACGCGGCCGGCGAGGGAAGGTCCCGGACCCAATATCGCAGGAGCCACGTCCCAACAGGGAGGGCTCTGCGCTGGCATAGAAGGACTAGGCACAGGACCATCCACAGGCCAACCATGGCTGCAAGCCTCGAAGCCGGCGGGCCCTCCGGGGGTTACTAGGCGGCCTCCTTCTCTTTGCCGGCTTCCTTGCCGGCTTCCTTCCCAGCTCCGCCCGATCCAGATCCTTTGCCACTGCCCTTTCCTTTTAGGCCCCGCTTCGGCGACCCAGCATGCTCGGTAGGAGGATCGGCAGCCGGCTTCCGAAATGCGAGCTTCTTCTTCTTCTCGGTCAGCTGATCGATCTCGTGCAGATGATGCAAGAACAGATCGACCCACCTGGCATCGACCAGCTTCGTAACTTGACTCTCGCTCTCGGTCGGTAATGTATGGGTGGCGAACACGGCATAAGGAGGTGGATCCTCGAGGGACATAGGAGCGGCCACAATCCAACTGCCTTTGTTGATGGACAGCTGGTCTCCTTGACAAAGGAGGAGGCAAGCTCGAGCCCGAGCTTCCTCGGGCCTGTTTTCCCGAAGGGCGTCCAGAATCCCGGCAATTCCCCAAAGAAGTGTAACAGGTGTCTTGAAGTTTTGAACCCGTGACCGAGCTTCGAGCCAAGCTCTGGCCGAAACCTGCACCGGCGACGAACCGGGCAGGCCTGTCCGTCGCAGCTGGAAGTCGGTCTCCATGTTGTTCTCGATCACTCGTGAAATCTTCTCGGGGTCGGAGTGCAAGGCTTTCCTCAGGGCCTGAAGAGCAGCTGCATTCTTCCGAGAGCTTGGCGTACTTCCTGACTCGGAGGAACCGGGCAATCCAGAGCCGTCTAGGAGCGCCTCCAGGGAATTGTCCCTCTTTCTCTGACGTGCCAGGTGTTGGGCGATGGCAGTCAGCTTCGTCAATGCAGCCACCATAGGATCCACCTCCGGGGCTTCCCCCGGGTGCTCCCCAACATCCAAACCGATGATTTCTTCTTCACTTTCCGACAGGGGATCTTTCTTGGCAGGTGCAGCTTTCGGCAGATCGGGAAGCCGTGGCTTCCCAGCCATAGCCACCTTCGACATCTCTGCAAGTTGCTCAGGTTGGATGCCAGCGGCTAAAGCGGATTGTACTACAGCAGGATCCAGGCCAGCATAACCCGCAGACGCGCCACGTGAGGCCTTAGGTCGAGCTCCAGCAGGTTCGACAGGAGCTCGTGGAGGCACTGCTGCAGGCGAATGCTTTGTCTGCAGAGTCACTAACGTCTCTAATTGCTGACTAGTGCCTGCCAAGCTTGCTTCCAGCGCAGTGACCCGGCTGGCCAAAGCTGGATCCGGTTCAGGCGGCAAGGATTCGTACGAACTCGGCTGGAGCCAGCTAGGAAGGAAATTCTGTGCAGCCTCAACTAAGCCTGAAGCCAAAGGTAAAAACAACTCGTCATCATCGAAAGGGATGGTCAGGGCCGGTTCACTAGCCGTGTCAAATGAGATGGTTTCCCAAAAGTCCGCGGACAGCCAACCAATCCAGACCTTCCCACTAGTCGTCTCGGCCGCCGGATCACGAGCGGCAGCCAACAAAACATCACACGCAAGCGGTTTCGCTAAAAAGGAACTTGGGAGTCGTCTATGGGCCACTGTACGATGCCATGCCCCGTGAGGAACTGCAACCAAAAAGGACCCGTCAACCTCCCCAATGCATATAATTGCAACCCGGATCGACTGACCTGTAGGTGTAATGACTTCGCTCACACCGACAGGGTACTCAATCACAGGCTGGTCTGACTCATCCGACAACAGTGAACAATGCTTCAGCACTTCGGCAGCAGTCATAGGTTCACCGTCCTCCTCACGCTCATCATCCATCATCTATGCGGGCCAGGAGAGCCCGGCACGCTGCACAGCGAGCTTTGCCTCCCAAAGGGAGGGGAGCCCAATGAAGATCGAGTCGCCCAAGTAGTCCCCGTCGCGCACAAGGTGGCGAAGGGAGGAAAAGGTGTGATGCACACCAACCGGATCGTAGGTGCGACCGTTCAGGTCGCGAACCAGGATGTAGACCTTCGAAGGCAGCGAGATCTGCTGGCGGCCCGAGGGCCCACGATTCACTCCCTGCAAGCTCCTGCGGAGGTAGTCTCCAATCCCTAAGGCGATGTCCCTGCGGTACTCCTCAGTGTACTGAGAGGCGGTGATGCGGCCTCCAGGTGTCAAGCCAACTGGAGTCTCTGGCAACTGAGTGGGGGATCCGACTGTCACAGCAGGTGGGGCAGCAGAAGGGCTGTCCGTAGCAGCTGAGTGGTAGGTCACGGTCACTGGCACAACGGTGGAAGGGCTCCCTTCGGCCCTGGCAGCTGTCAGCTGCTCTAGCACCCGAACCCTCTCTTTCAGATCGCTAAGCTCGGCACGGAGGCTAGCAATGTCCTCAGTAGAACTCATGCAAGCCGGGCCCGGGCTAATTGCCAGTTCCTAGACCAGAATTGTTGGTGGCGGAGCTGCAATGATAGAGCAGCCCTCAACAGAATCAACCACTCCAGCACCTGAAAAAGCAGGAACCCGATGAGAATGCCAGCTAGTAAAGAGGGCCAATGCACAATGATCTCCTCGCAAAAACAAGGCAGCACGTGATGGACCCCGGGATCGCGGAAAAGAGTCGCGACTGCAGCCGCGATCAAGCCACTCTGAGTGAGCGGCGCGTGAGCTAGGCTCATGAGCCGTCGAACAAGCTGCGGTCGAGAAAGAATGGTGAACATACACAGTACATGTCTTGTATATCTTACGTCTGCTCCATCATTACAGTAACTGTCCTTGTACCTTTTGCCTCCTGTCGGCTCCTTCTGTGTCCTGGCCTTTCGTCAACCAGTCTTAATTCCAAGTCAACCAAGCAGTTATTCTGCAAAGTAGGCACAAAGAAAGCACACTCAAATGCACAAGACTGAGCCAAGCCAAGAAGCTCAAAAACCCATTTGCCAGGATTCCCAAGGATCCTAATTGAATTTGGACCAATGCGCCACAAAAAGTGCCGTGGGCCTGGATTCTAGAGCTTGTGAAGGTGGAGAGCTGGGTGTCCTGGCGATCAAAAACACCAGTCCAGCATTTGGTTGGGTTGAGCTTTGGTCTGAATTGTTGGGGGTTCATGTGCTAGCAGCTAGCCTGGCTAGCCTTTACAAATTGGAATACACTGTAAGAGCTACCTCTGACAGCCTGGTCTGGGTCCTCGGAGTCTGTGAAATACTCATCACGGCCCCTGGTCTAGTCCGAGTAGGGTCAGGACTCAGCATTGCGGCGGCTACATATTCTGTGTTTTTTCTGTCTTTATAGCACAAAAGCAGACCTGCTGCCATGTGAAAAGAGGCCAAATGCATGGATTCGTTTGCACATGAAGAGTCAACACATATAGGCCTACGTCCCAACAAAGCACAGAATTAATTAAGCTTCACACGCAGGTGTTTCCTCACCCTCCTGCTCTCTTGCAGGGATCCAAGACCTGGCTATGAGAACACCCCAGTCTCTGAAACACAGGAGCGCCTTCAAGTGGTCACCAATGCTTCAGTATTTCCCGCGACAGTCTACAGGTCTTTTGATGCCTTTGGTTTTGCAGTCTTGACACTGCAAGCTGTAACCATTGTCAGCTGAACGAGCTGGACATGTTGTACTGCGAAACGCCAGGATCCATGGTAGAAGCAGTCACCTTGGTGGCTCAACATTCCAAGGGCCAGCAACTGAACAGTAGAAAAATCCGCGCAGAATGAGCTTGATACAATTGCGCTGCACATGGCCACACATAATTTTGCGACTGAGCTCTAACTGGCCTTTTCAGCCCTTTGCTGAAAAGCAAGTGAGATTGCCCAGCTCGTGGCAGGAAGCTTCCTCAAAGCCCCTTGCCAAATTACACGTCTCATTAGGATCCCGGCTTGGAATAGAATCTGCGTGCACAGTTCAGAACCATCTCCAAACCATCTCTTTCTTCAACCATCAACCACTCTGCAGCATTTGGCATAGCGCAGGAAGCTGCTAGCTAGTGGCACTGCCACACCCACCGGCTCATTCCCTCCCGCCGAAAAATGCTCCTCTCATGGTCTGCGTGTGACACCCCAGGCACTTCTTAAGTTAAGGGACCCTCCATGTGACCATCTGACTCATGCCCACACCCCAGCATCAAACCAAAGCTCCTGAGGCAGCTCAAGCCTTCACAGAGGCCTCAGGCACGCCCAGTTCTTCACAGCGCGCACTGGTGAAAACCATCATCGGTCGAAGCGGTGCACTGCGTGAAATGCACCGCAGCGCGAACACGCTGTGGGCACGACCAGTTCTTCAGCGTACGACACTGCAATCTTTTCATTTGCTTTCTTCATGCCATCTTTGACCTTAGAGTCATCATCCTTGTGTTGTCAACATGAGCATTGAGAACTCTTGTGGCATTTTGGCTTAATATTACTCTAGGCCTTGTCACCGACACATGAGAAAGAACTGACTACAATTGCCTCCATGATAAAATGAAAGCCTTTCGCCTTTCTCATCGCGTGGTACACAAACATCAATACTGTTGGCAAATGGATGCAATTGGATGCAAATGGTGTAGAAAACATCATTGATGTTGGACCTGCTGTTGGTTGATGCGTGAATGAATGCTGTCGTGCTTCATGTTGTAAAGACCCATGGAAACTATGCAATGCAGAAAGGCCAATACATCTACAGCTGAGTGAAAGGCGATCTGACCGATGACGAATGTTGCTGTCTGTCAGGCACGAATGATTCTTCCAGCGTCACTGGTGTTGGGGACCTACTGTCTCGTGCTAGAAACCCATGCGCAAAGAGCGAAGGCAAAAAGGAGCGACATGCCAAAGCAGCCTTCGACATGAATGCATCCGGCAGCGGAAACCACCATGGCAGCGCCACTTCCGACTTGGACCTAAGTGTTCAGAAGCATGGCGATTTTAGCTCATCATGAGGGATATTCCAAAGCATTGTTCATCTGTGGTTCTGAAGAATTCTTCTCCCTAGTTTGAGACACGCCCTTTGTGAAGTCTCTTTGCAAACCTCAGCACATTGCCAGCTGGAGTTCAACATGTCAAGGCCTGGGTGGCAAAACGCGGTCGGGCTGGGATGCTTCCGAAAGCAACACACGGTTTTTGAGAGTAGAGGGACCTTCAATGGTGAGAAGCTTTTCTTCACTTCAGTGCATAAGGCCCAGCCTCCTTTGCCATTGTCTCTCCAGCTGACGACATTGTCAGCCTCCGAATAAACCTGCAAATGCTGAGAACTTCGAGCTCGGAGGACATTCAGCATTGCACAGGGTGCAGAAATTTGCTGTAATATTGGAAGAGACTGCACCATGGACTGAGTCAGCCAACAACAAGGTATCTGGTTCAAGCTCAAACTAGTGACAAAGTCTGCAAAGGACCCAAACTGTTGGAGGATCTGAAGGAATCATGCATCTGCTAACCAGTAACTTGAAGCTACAAGCCGCATCAAATTTGTATATAAAAATGTCTGCAGTCTAGGAGTAACAGGTCTCACTCTGTTCGCGTAGTTCCTGTTCCCGGAAAAGCTGGGGAATTCCCCATGATCTCCGCCTACCAACATTCCAACATTCAGCGGAAGACCTCGGTTCTTTTCTGCACCTGTAATTGTAAGCTCCAGAACCCTCAAATGTCCCACCAAATGCGGCAAGAGAGGCCCACAAGAGATCTCTACAGAGCCAAAGAGAAAGCGTCAAGTAGAGAAAGCTTACGATGCTGCACAACACTGCTCGGTTTGGCTGTGCCAACAGTGCCGCACCTTGTTGGCCGGATCAAAGGTCACCTCGTTCGTCTTTTTGTCAACACTTCCTGGCGGACTGAGTGGTGCTTCACTCCCAATGCAACGAGAAGTAGGTGATGTGCGCCGCGTATGCTCCTGCATTCAACACGCGTGATACACAAAAGTTCTGGTGCTGTTTTAGGTGGGTTCTTTTGACTCTTGCGCTTGCCGTCGACAGTTGTCTGTAGCCGCTCACCTAATTACTAATTATTGCATTCACGGTCGATTGCCGTAGTCAGCTCCCATCTCGGCAGACATATCAAATTCTGCCAGTAACGGAGTGACCTCTGCCAGGAATTCTTCTGGTAGAGCCATCTGTACATCGTCTGGGATTTGACTTCGGCTTAAAATTTGAGCAATGACTGTACAGAACTGGCTTGGATATTCCTTCAGAATAGCTGTGCGCCATTTTCTGTTTTCGTCAAGCCCAATCACTCCTTTGCGAGGTAAAGGTGTATTCCTAGCGTCGAGCAACAGTTGGCTACATTCATTCGTGCCATTCACGATCAAAAGGTCCGTAGGCTTCACTGCTTTTGCACCATAATGCCCCTGGCAAACGCGGTGCTTGAAGCATCTCGGAAATCGTAACAGCACCTTGATGAAGTCGGTACGCCAGACAGATACAGTGTAAGGAGAGACGTCATCTTCTGCGGGATGCTCCATCACTCCTGTAGCGCCGGTAACCAGCGCTATCACCATCAGTCGGAGCGTCACTCCAAGCAGTTTGCTCCCGAAGGAAATTTGTCGGTCCTCTTTGAGGGTAAGCTCTGGCTTTCCGTAAGGAAACTGTAGGCTTCGGATCACTCGTGGACCGGCCTGGTTGCCTTCCAAAGCTACTCCGCGGGCCCTGCTCCAGGTTTCACAGGGGGGTCCCCCTATGAAGCCACTGAGAAAACCATCATGTAAGGCTCTCGCAAAAAGATCGAACGTGGCAGGCTGACATAAATCTCCTTGGTAGGATGGAAAATAATATCGATAGAGATCGCAAGGTGTCCTAACGTCTCTAAGCATGCCTGCACGTCGTGTTCTCTCCGTCTGCCAGAAAACAAGTGGGCGAACACAACAGGCCGGTATACCGGTGTTCGGTATCGCACAAAGTCGATGGGCTCCAATGAAGTCGATTGCTTGGCAAAAAACTCATGAGCTCGTTCGGCTGAGGCTGTCGGCGCCCCACCGTTCGTAAACCAACAGAAAGAGAATCGTTTTCGGAAGCTGTCACAAGCGGAGAACCATCCTAGGGTGAACCCTAGACTTTCCAAGTCGGCCGACTCAACCCATTCATCAAAAGCGTGTCGTATCTCACTCGGGTACAGATAGGTCGAATTGGTTGCGGCTCGGAGCTTCTCGAGCCAATCTTCTGCTGAGCATGGCGGTGGACGGCATATTTCCTTCCATTTCTCCTGAAGTCTAGCCGATTCAGCTCGGTAGTGTGGATCTCCGCCTTGGTCCAGCAGGGTGGCTTCTTTCGGTCCTGCTGCTTGGAAAAATGGATCTCGAGCCGACTGACGGAAACCAGTTGCGATACGACTATTCACACCGGGTTCCGGGTCGACGACAACTGTCTTCTTGAGATATGCTTCTAGGCAGACAGTGGACCGTTTCACGTGGTTAAACAAGTTAACATATGTGGAGTAGTGTTTGAGACAAATCTCACATTGTGTGCCTGTTACGAAGTACCGCGCGGCCTGCTTTCTATCGTGCTTCTTGAAGGCATGTACAGCTTGTGCTGCGGCCGATTGGAACTGCCGTTCGCAACATAAGCAAAACCATTCTGTCGGCTTCGGTGGGACGACCTCATTGCCTATCGCACCATGCTCTTGTAGGTACTGGAATGTCCACCGGTGCCATTCGTGCCATTCAAAATGTCTACGACGAAAAGCAATTGCGCGTCTGATTGCTTTCTTCAGTCGGCTCTTCCACGCACCAGGATGCCGGGTAATGAATTGGACAAGCTCATCCCACTCATTGGCCTCATCAGTAGGCACATCGTCCTCTGGGCAGAACTTGCGCAACCACTGCAAGTCTTCTTGGACAAGACACCACCATTTGGCTTCTTCCTGGATGAGCGCCCATACGTGGGGCTGTCCTGACATCACCAGCTGCCCAAGATATCGAAGTCTCGAAAGCCTCAATACCTCTTCTGCAGACGGGAGTTCTAAAGTTGTCAAAGTCCGATCCTTGCTCCACTCAACAGCGGACTTGCCAAAATGGTTCACGCAAAGCCGTTTATAGAGCCGAAAGAATCCGTGCTCTATTTGGCGCCATTGCTTCATGGTGGCTGAGCGCCAGAGGGGAGAACCAAAGATCACTGCATTCAAAATTAAGGACTGGAAGAGCTGCACCTTCTTTGTTAGGGGCAGTGCACGATTAGCGAACAGTTGAGATCTGTATCGTGTCATTGTATCATGTGCAATGGCCATTTTCGCGCGCACATCACGGGCTGGACTACCCCCTCGCTCGAGAAAAACTCCGAGATGCTTATAGTATTGAGTGACCATGAGGTCATCTTCTACCAACGAGGTACTGAGCTGGAACTTGTATTCCTTTGCAGAGAGACATCTTCTTGCTTGTACAGCACCTTTTCCCCGTAGGTCGAGCAGCATCTCTGTTTTGCCTTTCTGCATATTCGGCTTCAGCCCGGCCGTAGCCAGATGGTGCAGGACTAGGGATGCGATCTGCGGCGCAACCTCGAGCATGGTCAACGGGCAATCGTGGGTGAAGGCCAAGGCGATATCGTCTGCCCATACTGGCATAACCGGCCCTAGAGCAGTATGCTCGGAGGAGTCATCAGCATGGCGCTAGGCGTCCATTCCACTCGATAGCAACAAAAGGAAAGTGCCGTATTTCAATGGCTTTCAGAATGCGAGCGAGCGCATATCCAAAGCATAGATCCGCGAAGCTGTCTCCAGGCCGTGAGCCCCTTCTAGTCCATGTCCACATATCGGCACCGTTGATCTTGTACCATGTGTCCCGGTAAAATTCTGCGAAGAGAGACTGCAAAAATGGGGATACTTGCCCCTCCGACAGCGCTGGAGGTGCTTCAATCTGCCTAGCAAAATCTTCAAAGGCTTCTTCTGGCAGTCCAAGTTGGGAAAACAACTCTCGCGCCCCCCTCTGGTCGGTCGGTGTCTCTGTCATGTGGCGTCGAATCAGTCGATAAAAACGCATTCTGAACATCGACAAAGAGGAAACCAACCGAGCGATGACATGAAATCGCACGCCAATGAACTAATTGGAGGCAGTGCGTTGCCTGTGTGCTGGATTGGCCTTGTATGCCACCTATCTGCAGAGGTGCACGGTTAGCCAGAACAGCAGGTATTTTCGCAAGGAGGTCCCCAGGCACATTATCTTCGAAAAAGGCTTTGCGCCTTGCTGTGCGGCGGAAAGCTGCCTCCAAATCTTGCATCGTAGGCAAATCAGTCCACTCTGGCTGCATTAGGGGCACATCATGTCCTCTGACGGTCTGCTTTAACATGTCTTGGACTGTTATTGCAACACCATCTTCTTGCTCAGCGAAGTGGGCCCTCCATCTTTCTGCAACAGCTTCAAAAGACAGGATCGGCTCCCCTTGCTCATCGCACACGATCGGCAGGGGTAAGATGCCAGTTGGCTTCTTTTTGCTTTGGATACCTATCTGTCTTAGCTTGCTTGCAAATTGGTCAGGCGGCAGTCCGACAGCTTCATCAGCCAAAGCAGTCAATGCCTCAATCCGGTCAGAACGAAGCCTCTTCGACAAAATCTTTGCTAATCCTGCAATACTTTTCTTTGCGGTTAGATAATGAAAGAGCGTTGTACATGCTGGGATCAATGGCCCTGCGTTCTAACTATCGGTAGACTTCCAACACCTCCATGCCCATTGAGTCGACATAACAGCCAGAACGTTCTTCCATTTTCTGAGCTCCCCTCGGACAGAGAGGCGACGAGCCCGGAGAGCCCATGTGTCGTCTCGAATGTATCCTTTGCGTGGCTTATTGCCTGTCATCGGGAAACTTTGCAACAAAACATCGGACACCCATTCAGACAATTGAGTAGCATGCGAATCAACATCTGTTACCCATTTGATTTCGGGCGGATGGCAGAAGAGCTTTTCTAACTTGGATTGATCGCATTTCTGCAGCAAATCACGGTCAAATCTTTCGAAAGCTGGTGTAGTCTGCTTTCTACTGATCAAGATTTTCACATCTACAGCTTGTGGGATATGGTCATGCCCTGCATTTCCGGCATCAACATACTTTTGTGCATAGGAGACCAAGTGGCCCCTCATCCATTCTGCAGGCAGTATGATGTAATCACATCGGGCGGTACTCCCATTAGCTGGACTAACCCAAGTATGGGTTTCCCCTTGGTGAACATGCTCGAAGGTTGCCGGCAGAAACCCCCTAATTTCTGCAACAACATCTTCAGGCATCCCCCTGCTAAATTTGCCTTCGGCTCTAAGCCGTGTGGTCCTACATGCGGTGCACATGGTAGATCAAAGTGAGCATTTCCGTCAATGCCGCCAATGAAATAGGGCAATTGATGGGCCCAGCGCATCAGCTCAGTCGTGAGCTCTTGCCAATAATCGTGGACATTATCGACTGGACTACCACTATGAGGAGCATGTGCAGAGAAAACTAAAAGATCAAACTTCATGTATACCACTCGCAGAATCAAAATTTCGCTCGTGGCATATAGAACTCGGATTCGATCTTTAGTGACGTATTGGACTCCACTACGGGCATCGGATCTCAGAAGCCAAATCTCTGTCCCGCCGTGCCCTACTTGCGCTGCCGAAGTCACACGAAAGTGGCTCTGGGACACTACGAGCTTAGACGTCTTAACCCTTGTCTCTTGCAGGCAGACAATGTGGTGCCCACAGGCTGCGACCTGTTCACGCATATAGGCAACATGGTGGCCACCGTGTAGGCTGAGCACATTGAAAGTCATGATTGAAATCTTTAGTACTTTATCGATATGTGGCATCGTGACTTGTGGCTGCAGCAAACGATGCGGCAGGCGGGCATCTTCTTCTAATGGAACATCAAGCCTC